TGGAATTTCCCCTTACCCCTCCTCCTCCATCTTTTTAAACTTTTTTTTTCCTCCTCTTGCACTTCTCCTTCTTATCCTCCTTTTATTCAATCTTGCAACTCCCATTAGAGAGATATTGGGTCATCTGAATCTGTCTTACATATCTCTTGACTTCCTTCATATTTTTTTCTCTATCCTTTCTCATCATGTCCTGGAAAACTTAGTCAATTGCTATCCTAGCTTATTAATTTGCTTTTCAGCTGTCCAATATACTTTTGAACTGTTGATCTTTTTAAAAGATGCATTGTTCTGTTGTTTGTCTCAAAAGACAAATATATTTTAAATTCTTTTTCTCTTTGCTCTATTAAGTCTTTTCACTAGATGTTAGTTCTTCTGCTTGTTGAATTTGGTACCTCTTATGCTAATTTTCCTTAAATAGCACTGACACTTTGTTTTATGTTAATTTCTTTTTTTATTTAAGAATCCTTATTTTCCTACATATTCACCTATCTTGAGTGATTGAAGAAGGGAAATGGAAGGAGTTGCTAAGACCAGTAGCTTGTGTTCTTGCAATGTGGACTCCCCATTTCTCTACATTGGGACATTGCTCTTCCATTCCGTTCCTGGTGCCTAGCAAGGTGATTTGTCCTGTGGACAACACAACTGCTTCTTACTTATTAACACAATAAAAAGAGGACAAAGAGATCTAGCTCCTCACTTAATCACCCTGACTATCAACTTCTTATGGCTTTTGACTCTTAGCTTTAAACTCCCCTACAGTTAGCTTATGTCCACACCAATCTTCTCAGCAAATGTTTTAGAATTATGGTATCCTATGGTTTTACTTCTCCATTGATCAGATCTTATTTGTGTTCTATCTTTTGTGATGCTTCAATATTTCTGATTCAGTAATGATACTCTCGATTGTCTTTATAGGCATTTATAAATTTATTTTGTTTCTTAAACATCTTTTGTCAGTTCAGAGGACTTTTAGATGAGTGGTAGAATACTTACAAGCACTGGGTCTACGGTTTTTATTCAAATCTCCCTCTATTTTCTTAATAGACTTAAACTTAGCCATCTTGACTTTGTGCTTCTCATACTACAAAGAACTGTTTATGATACATTGTCTTTTCCAACAATAAAGAAAACATGAACATATTTTATTGTTATTCAGAGCTCAACCCTGATAGGAGAAATGGCTGTTCCCAAAAGGAAATAGTGACATAAAATGAAATAGGTGAGAACAGAAGTGTAGGTGAAAACAAGTGTTAATATGAGCAAAAATTAGTCACTGGTGTTAGATAATGATTTTTTCTCTCTCTACAAATTCATGATTCTATTTCCTACTGAATAAGCAGGTATTTAAATCAAATAAAAAGGAGCATCCTTCCAAATTCGGTAGTATTTTTTCACAATAAGCCATAGATATGTTCTCTTCACTTCCTTATAAACACCTAGCCCTGTAGCATGGTTATTGAAAAGAGCACTGGTTTTAGAACTGTAATTCCGTTTGTCCACTCAAATTTTCTGACTTTCCACTGATTCGTCTATAAACATTGGATAGAAATATGTATAACACTTGAAAAATTATAAAGTATCCTACAAGCTTAAAGGTGGAAAAAGAAAGATTGTCATATTGCAGTAGAAACAAAGACATTTTTGTGGCTGCATTTTTAGATTTTGCTCAACCCTCCTACACCCCACCCTCCAAAATGATTTTGTCCTTATGGCCCAAGTTTCACTCTCACATCTAGCCATTTGTGTCAGGAAGAAAAATAAAGATAGTGAGTAGGCCAAGTGACAAGTTGTATCTACAGATAGATAAAGGTATGTCCTATTGCAGTGCTCCTGTTTTTGCAATATCTAGTCCAGTTTCATTTTCTGGTATAACGAAAATGCTGTGGGAGGCTTACCTGAGATTAGAGGACATTGACCTTCGGAAGGTGTTGATTGCTCCTGAAGAAACCTCACTGGTACTCAAAGGAATGGGGTGGGATGAAAATACACCCATGCAGAGGCAGGAAGCATCACAGGTGCAGAGGAAGAGCAGGACAATGCCGCAAAAGAAGGCAATTCTTACCCAAACCAGACCTTGAATTCTAAGTAGTTCCCTCTCAGGGACACACAGACTGCTGAACTTGTGTTTCAGATCTGGGTTAGAACTCACACCACTCACAAAGAAATGGCTCTGCATGGTTAAAAAAAAGAACTGGCCTATCCCTTTGACAGAGAAGTTTCAGGTACTTAATTACTAAAAAATTATATTGAAATGAAGATCATTCCCTACTACAAAGTCTTCTCTGATCCCACAGAATAGGTTAGAATCCCTGTATCTTGCCTTGAAAGCATTTGTCTCAATAAAAAGCTGGCTGCCCATTTCCTCATAGATAGAAAATCTGGATCTCTGAGCCAGGAGCCAGAAAGTTTGGGCAAGATGGAGTATTTTCTCACCTTCCCTCAAGAGGCCATGATAGCATATCTTTATGAGGCTCGAGGATGAAATGCCCTAGGTTGTTTCCTCAAGTAACTGCCAAGTTCCTAAAGATGCGTGGACATTCCTCCATGGTCTGGCAAACTGTTGGCCTTAGCTTTCCATATTGTGGGTCATGGTTTTTGTTTTAACTGGAGTTTTGGAGGGAAGCTTGCACAAGTGGGGAAGGTGCCAGCCTCAAGTCACTCTGAAATGACTGCTGGGAAAGTGAATGAAGCCAGAGGCTGGCCAGAGTTCAAGTCACTCACCTTGCTGGGTCTGATTTTCCTCACATGTCAAATGGGTGCTTGAACTCTACAACGTCTATGTCCCCCCTGCCCGGTATCCTGTGCATCTTGTGGTTCTATGTTGAAATTAATTTGGGGGGGCACCTGCATGGCTCAGTCAGTTAAGCATCTGCCTTCAGCTCAGGGTTTGATCCCAAGGTCCTGGGATCAAGCCCAGAATCAGGCTCCCTGCTCTGTTTCTCCCTCTCCTTCTGCCATTCCTCCTGCTTGTGCTCCCTCATTCTCAGGGTCTAGCAAATAAATAAATAAATAATTTTTTTTAAAAAAATTAATTTTGTTTTAATATTGTAGACATAGTATTTTGGTTTTCCTACCTAAAGCCAAGTGTTTTTCCTAAGCCAACTGTTAACTTTATTTTGACTAAGATTTCTCAAAAAAATCTAAAACTAAAATTCCATTCAGAGTCTAAAAATAGTACTTACAACCTACTTCTCTATTTTCTCTTGATAGTATGAATTTATATGTCATTTCAATTAAGGAATAAGAAATTAGAAATAGAAGGACACAAATAACATTTGGGGATATGGAGTAATCCATAAGTCAGTAAACAATTTGAAAAAAAAAAAAAAAGAAGAAGAAGAAATCATTTGGAAAAGATTTTCCTAAAATTATACAATCTCCTTTTCTCTCAAAAATATGTCCATTTCCCTCTTAGAACATAAACAGATATAATTATCATAGCTTTGTAGCTTTAAATCTTACTAAAACTTCTATCAGGATACTTAGCTATTAGAGGACAGATACATTTGGTATGAAATTTTCAACTTACAGATGTAACCAGTAAAGTTACCCTTTCCATCCTCCAAATTTGCATGCAATAGATAGTCCCCAGTTATGCGCTGGGGTTGTGGTTATAAACATTCTTTTTTAAAGATAACCACAACTCCCTCCCCAGAAATGATGCCATTGCCACTGAAAACCTAGTGATGTGGCAAAACAGACTGTGGCTTGGCTGCAACCACCAGCCACCAAAGCCTGCAGATTCTATATATTTTCCTCTGGAATGGATCAGTTCAAGAGATGAGTAAGCCAAACCAGTAGCACAAGAAGGTCTTCCACAAAGCCTTAGCCCTGGTCCTCCTTGTTCCCTCAGGAAATTAGCTTTATTCCATAATAGGAAGGAGACCAAAGAACTCAAAAAGGATGGAAGAATAAGAAAGCTCCCTCCTGGTCATTCAGTGGTTCCCTATTGAGTCCAGAATAATGTGTGAGTTCTTCATCCAGACCCTTAAAGGTCCCACTTTCTGTGCCCAACTGGATATTGCCACCTTAACACACCACAGGGAATAGTAGTGGGGTGGGAGCCATTATAGATTAGAGCAGAGTGACAAGATCTGCCTTATGTTTTATTTTTACTCATTCTCCTCAAAAACACCCTACACTTCCAGCACAGACCCATTCAGCCTGAGTGCCCTCTCCAAGCATTCCTGCCCAAAGCAATCTCATTCCACCTTCAGTGCCCAGCTTCAAGACCCCTCCTAGGTAGACTTCCTTGATTTCTCCAGCAAGATGTGACTCTCCCTCTCATTCTAATCTTGCAAATGCCCAAAGTACTTGGCTTAGACCAAGGTTTTGTATTTTCTGCCTTGTACTATCAAGAGTTAGATGACCAAAAGTTAGATTATGTTTTGCTTTGAGCCTCAGCTGGATTGCAAATGCCTTAAGCATGGCTTACATTTTATACAGCAAAACAGCACTGTTACTTCAACTGTGGGAGAAGCCATGTGCCTCCACAAGTTCATCAACTCAGTTTCTAGGCCCTCGGCTATATGACAGCCAGCCAACTGCCAAGAGTTTTGCCAATAGGTCCAAGATCAAGTTCATCCACATTTCTGAAAACATGAGTAGGGATATTCATGTTCAAAAAGTTAAGACCAATTATCATCCAACCACTTTTCTCCAGCTAAACTCCTTTGACATACACATCTATTGTTACTTTTCAGATGGAATCCTGCGGGGATTCATTGGGTCCACCACTCATTTGGGGACTTATCTTGTGTTGCCTTTATCTTTGCTACCTTTCTGTGCCATATTTTTTACTTCCTTCCTCTAAAATGTAAGTTCTTTAGGGATGGAGGCCTCACAGAGTTCTTTGTGGACCCACATGTCCCCTTACCTATAGGCCCTTGCACCAAAACTATTTGCAGGTGGACTATTTGCATGGCTCTTCCAGCCTTCAATTGCAAATAAAATACAAAAAGCAGGAGACCAAAGATAAACCACTGCCTCTGTTGTAACAGGATTTTGTGCCGCTTTATCAAAACTTTGAGAATTTTTACACACGGAACCTGTACATGAGAATCAGAGACAACTGGAACCGGCCCATCTGCAGTGCCCCAGGGTCTCGGTTTGATGTGATGGAGAGGGTGTCGGATGACTACAACTGGACATTTAGGTGAGGCAGCCTACTGGAGGGGCTTGGTTGAAAGAAATCCTTCCCAGGAAATCCTAGCATGGGCGCCAAATTACAGAAATGATGAACACCAAACCATGGAATTTGCTGGTCTTCCATCACTGAGGCCTTTGCAAGCCCTCATAATTCCAGTGAAGGAAGTCACGGTAATTCAGCTGCTAAGGGTGGCTATGTTAGATTAAAATAAAGCCTGTGTCAGAAAGTGCAGGATACACAGAGCCAGCCAGGAAGAGCCTTTTCAGCCTTATTGACAAATTATACCCCCCTACTTCTTGCTGAAGGAGACAGTGATGATCATGGCTCTTCCTCACCTAGAAAGTTCTTGCTGGAATTTTAACAAGAACACAGGTATCACAGAAGTGAGCACCCAAGGAAAACCAGGGCTAAATAATACTCCATGCCTTGTGATACCTTTTTCCAATGCTCTGCCCAGCTTCATTTTGGGGTTACTGTCTTCCAAGGGCAGACCATTTTGTGTTGACAGCAATTCACATCAGAAAGGAAAAAGAAAATATATGATTGGGGACAGACCCAAGATCTCCTTGTAAGAGTCTTTTATGGGGCACTAGGATGATGTTAAATGAGAAAGCCCTTTGTGGTCTTCTCTCTGCAGGTTCACTGGAAGAATCATCAAAGATGTCATCAACATGGGCTCATATAACTTCCTTGGCCTGGCTGCTAGTTACGATGAATCTATGAGGACAGTAAAGGAAGTTTTAGAGGAGTATGGCTTAGGTGTGGCCAGCACCAGACATGAAATGGGTATGTATGTTCACCATTTTGAAATTTTGTCCAGCTGGGCCTCAGATTCTTTGTGGCAACTTCTCAAACCTAAACCATATCTAGACTATGTACCTCAAAAAACTGTTATAAATTGCAAAATGAGAAAGGTATCTGAAGGACTTTTTGGAAATTTCAAATATTATGCTCTTGCCAGGCAGTTTATTAATTACAGGTTTTAATTCTCCAGAAAAAATAAAAAGAGATCTTTCTTTAGACCATATTACCTAAAATAGCAACTATTGTGCCTCTTCCATCTGGCCCTTTTCTGGATCCTTCCCACACTTCTTTTTTTTAAAACAGCTTTAGTGAAGTATAACTGATATTGTTAAAAACTGTACTTACTTAATTTATACAATTTGATGGGCTTAGACATATAAATACACTCTGAAACTATCACCGCAATCAAGGTAATAAACATGTCCATCACCTTGGAAAGTTTCTTTGTGTCCCTGCTTTTTGTGGTAAGAACACTTAACATGAGATCTACCCTTTCAATGAATTTTTAAAGTGCACAATGCAGTATTAATTATAGACACAATATTGTACAGCAGATCTCTAGAACTTACTCATCTTGCATGACTGAAATTGTATATCCATTGAACAACTTTTTGTTTAGATTTTGCTCTTTCTAATGATGTCCATCACTGATCTTACTTTTGTATTTGGATATTGCCCATCACTGCTACTAAAACATAAGCTTCACGAAGGGAGGGATTGAATTGGCCTTGTTGTCTGTCATGTTGAATGAATGAGTGAATGATGAATGAATGGGCAAGGTGAAACAGACTGCCTATTTGTTTCTCTTTTAGCTGAAACATTTTTCTCTTATTCAAAGGAGTGAAATCTGTGAGAAGGAAACTTCTGGTCCTCTCCACCTCAGGGAGAAAGAGTGACGCAAGCTTCCTCCTATAGAGTGTCTTGCTATTCCTGACACAGTGTTTTCTTATATGTCATCTCATTTATTCCTCACAAAAGTCCTCTGCTCAAGGAGGCAGCACAGGTGATGTTATTTCATCTTCTAGAGGAAAAAATAGGATCATAGTGACTAAGTGATGTCCCCCCAGTGGCTTGTTAATCATACTAACTCCCAGTCTAGCTAGCTTCTCCTAAGACAGCAGTTTCCCACCCAGAATGATATATGCATGGTTTACCATGTCAGTTTCAGGCCAGTCTAAGAACCCAAGGTAAATCTACTAAAAAGGGATTGACCATTAATGAAAAATGAGGCACGTGCCCCTCTTAGATATCCAGTTGACAAAAGAGCATTAAAAACCCATGCAACAAAGAACAATTTAAGTTGAACAAAGTAACTTTTTTAATCCACACATTCAGTTAACATTTAGCGAAAGCTCCCGAGTTTATAAGTGGTTGACCAGGTTTCTTAAGAAAGGCATCTTACTTATATTCATTTTGAGGCAGGAGGGCTGCAGATATGAGCAGAATGCAGAAGGAAGGTTCTAATTCACTTAGCAGAACTGGGTCATCCATGATACCCCATTTGGGATGGGGCAGAGACTGGAAGACTACCCCCAGTCATAAAAGATATGGAGTCAGTAAGCTTTGGGGATATTTCCTCTGGTGCTGGTGATACCCAACACCAGGATTGTTAAAACCTCCTCAGTCACAGCCAGCAGAAGCTAAACCTGATACAGACAATGGTTTCCTTCCTATGGAAGCCAGATATGGAATAGGAGTTCCTGATTCTGCAGACTCAATGAACCAGAGAAGCCAGGCAGAGACGAAAATCATAGTTTCAATTGCCTGCAGCCTAAGTTCTTTCTCCACTTCCTCAGCCTTCTGAATGGCTAGACTTTTAATGTTTACCTGCTTCACTTAGTCTCTGGCTCAAGCTCTAGGAAGATTTTAACAGTTTTCAAGGAAACAGTAAGAGAGCAAAATAGAAGCCACCCATACTAATTTTAAGCAAACAGAAGAATTGATAACAAGGATGGATATGAGCAGTCAGAAAATAAAGAAGTAAACGGGGTGCATTTTAAAGTATTGCACAACATAAGCAGTAACCTTATCATAGCATACAAGAATTAGTAGCATAATTTTGAATGCCACTTATTTCAAGACATACAAATAACTTTTAGAAAGCATAAGCTATCTAGTCTTAAGAAAATGTTGAACAGTGCCAGCGGACTGTCAGTGAAAATTTGAGAATATAGAGACTTACCAATTTAACAACCAAAAATGCTCCTTGAGGAGCCCAAAGTAAAAGTTTAGGAACATTTAATCACTTGAGTACTTTCCCAGAGCTTTTAAAAATAGTTTCCAATGTTCTAGAGGGAAAAACACACAAAAATCATATTACAAAATAGGAAATTAAACAAAAAAGAAATCAAGAGGAAGTATTTAAAGCACAGTGAAAGGATAGAAGACCACACACAGTATCTTGGCCAAAAATATGTGAGAAGAACATATTTGCCCACTGAAAGAAAAGGACTGAGATTTTGCCAAAAACCCAAACTCAGCTACATGCTTTAATCACAAACAAATACAAGTAAATTTAAGTTATTCCCAAGGATGAAAAGTAGAAAGGTAAGTCCCAGCCAGACATCTGGTTCTCACCTCCCTGCTGCAACCACCACTAAAATGAACTCAGTGCCCCAGAGGCAAGTCAGTTCAATAAAAAGCACAACAAACAAAGAGCTCTAGAATAAAGTTGTGTGTCCAGTCTGCATCTGCAAAGGCTAGGACTGAGCCTGAAATACAGCTGAGCTGTAAGGAATGAAACATTTCCAGACACATACATACAGAATTGCAAGTGCTGTTTTTAACATGTGGAATGATGTGCTGCTGTTATTTTCATGTACAACTAAAAAATACTGGCATACAGAATTAAGGGAGGCTTTGACGGTCTCGTGGTCAATTTAACTTTCCATAGGCTGATGGAAGGGATGGTGCATTTTTTTGATATCCTAAATATGCAGCAGAGTGAAATGGAAATTTGGAGTCATAATCAACCATTTAAAATGCCTGACACATTTTTAATTCTTATCCTCTATATTCATGGGTGCATTTTTATTAGAATTCTCCTTGATATGGGCTGTCTCCTTCAAATTGTGTGCCATATGTCATATCTTTGGAAATTACAGCCTAGTTTTTCCTAATAACTTTCTTAATGTGCTGTGAAAGATTAGAAATCTTTGAGTATTGTTGTGTGTGATATTACGTTGTGAACTAGTGAACTCTAGACTGAACAGCTTATCAAAAGTTGAAGAGACTGCTGCTCAATATCCTCTTTTTAAGGTGGCTTGCTTCCAGATTTTTAGCTGCAAAATCACTTGAATAACTGTTCACAGATTCTAAAATTACATGGATTTTTAGATTTTCAGCGCCAGGATTGAGAATTGTTCATGATGTCTGAGTATTAACAGAAAACAATAATCAGTAATATCTCCATTATGCAAGGTATTTCCACATAATTTTGATCTTTGAATTTCTTTGAATTTTTGAATTTCTTTGAATTTCTTTATCGGAAAAAAAACTATTTAATTTTTCTCTATGTGGAAGGTGTTTGTCTGAATATCTTGGTTGGACAATGAAAAATGTAATGCAGCAGCCCCTGAGGCAAAGTAAATGCATAATTGCTTGTTCTTCTTCATATTAAGCCAAAAAATAAAGAACAAGCTGAAACTTTAAAAAATAAACAACATAAATGTGTGGTACAAATGCAAACAAAAAGGAAAGCAGAAGATTAGCTTAAAGTTATTAGTTGTTATTAAACATAGGAAGAGACTCACCTTATAAAAATTATGTGGAGAGCCCATAATGAAGACAGATTCAAGTCCTATATCTTCTATGCATCAAGTAACACAGTGCAAACATCGATGGCTGTTATTTTTCTGTACACCTGGAAATTAGGAGAATGAATTATGAGAGGCTTTGAAAATCATGTGGGTCAATTTAACATTCTACAGGCTGATTATAAACAAAAGCAAGACAAATAAAATAGTGATAGGAGACCACAAAGTACCTTCCAGTCCTTGAAAAGTAAAGAAGGAAAGAAGGAAGGGAGGGAGAGAGGAAGGAAGGGAGGGAGGGAGGGAGGGAGGGAGGGAGGGAGGAAGGAAGGAAGGAAGGAAGGAAGGAAGGAAGGAAGGAAGGAAGGAAGGAAGGAAAGAAGGAATGAAGGAGGGAAGAAAGGAGAAGGAAGGAGGGGAGTAAGGAAGGAGGGTAGAAAGGAAGGAGGGAGGGAGGGAAGGAAGGGGAGGAGGAAGGAAGGAAGGAGGAAGTGAAGGAGGAAAGGAAGATATAAAACATAAAGGACACTAACAATGCAATTACTGACTTCCATTTAATATTTATATATTGAATTAAGAGCCTTAAAACATATTACCAGTATACTTCATCTTTTTAAATACCTAGTGAATTTTCACAAAAATTTACTATATTTTATGCCACAAAGAAAATCTCATTAGATTCTGAAAAGTGGAATTTACATAAGTCACATTCTTGGATCACAGTGAACTAAAGCTAAAAGTAAATAATAAAATTAGAAACAGTTCCTTTTTAAAAAAAAATCTCTGGAAGGTTTTAAAGCCCTTTCCTAAGAGACTCTTGAATCAAAAGGGAAATGAAATTACATTTACATCATATTTAGAAACTAACAACTGTGAGAACACCATAGGGTCCAGCTAGTTCTGTAATCAGAGGAAAATATATAGTCTTACTTTACTAAAGAAGAAAGATTGAAGCTAGCAAACTAAGCTACCCATGCAGTAAGGAGTAAAAGTAAGCAAAAGTATTGAATTATTAAAAATAAAAACAGAAACTTATTAATTAGAGAAGAATAATTTCTATTGGGCTGAGGCACCTGTGTTTTAATAAGTCACTAGAGGTGATTTCGGTGAGCAGCAACAAGAGTTGGCAACAGCTGAACAAAGTTTGACAAACAAGCACGTAGTGAAAAAACGTATATAAGGAATTGACATTGCAAATCAGTGTACTCAAATAACAAGATACCATGATCA